GCTTCCCAGGATTGAGATTTTGCTCAAGTACCTGAATGAGAGCAGATGCTGCTGTGCTCTTTAAAGTAGAGTGTGGCGCTATTCTGGCCAAAACATAGCCCTGGAGCAGAACCCGAAGCAGCAGACTCATCGTGGTGACTGGCAAAGGGAGTCTCTTCTGTAGTCAAGTCAATGGCTTTGCCCATCTGCTGGTTCAATCAGCAAGTCCTGGCAGCACTCAGTCCACAAATGGCCCAAATGTTCTTCTTTAGAGAAATCCTCCTGATGCTTAGCAAGCAAAATTCTGTCATGGAGACTGTACTGAGTGAATAAAACTGACAGAAAAGTGCTTTTAAACTAAGGTTTTCCCCAGTTCATAGCACCCACCTAATATTAGTCCAATGACAGATTTTTTTTTTTAGTTTTATAGCTTGCATATTTTTATAATAATAAAAACTTGCAACCTCTTCTCCTTTATTCTACACTTTTAAATATATTTTTAATAGGTTTAACATCATTTTCTGTGTACAGTGTTGTGTTTTGATTTTTCATTCATTATTATATTGTAATAATCATTAAATATTATTTTATAATCTATATATGATGTATATATTCACATTATGTATTTTATTTATATTCTTTAAAAGCATCTACTCTTATGTCTGCACAATATTATCACACTAACATTTATATATATATCTCTTAATGAACTTTTAGTTTTAGTCCTTTCGTATTATCATAAACATTTCTTCAGTGATATTTTTGGCTGAAGGGGACAGTAAAGGTATTCTTTTCCTCTGAAAAGATCTATCTTTTAATGGAAATATAATTGGGGTATCTGTCTAGATTGGCTCTTACTATTCCAGTCTGTATGGTTGTTACAAATAATATCTTACTGTGTTTTTGGTGAACGTTTACATAGCAGTTTATGTTCTCATTCAGCAATTTCTATACACGTTGTTCAGTGACATTGATTATATTTTCAACAATGTATGAATATTCTCATTATTTCCTTTCTGGTTTTTCTGTTTCCAGTAATCTAATTTTCTTGACCCCTTACATTCTCATCTTTGTCTTAAAGTAATTGTTAACCCTTTGGTCTCATACAGGTGATTTAAAAAATATATTGCTTTTTTTTTTAAGTTTAGCATTTAGGGCTTACATGGCAAGCTGAGTGACCTTTGGAAAGGTTTTCCTGGAGACCAGAGGGGAATACCTTAAATTGAAGACTTAGCTGTATGGCTGATATCTCATACAAGCTGTTTAAATACCCTGAAGTTTAAATAATCTTGTACTTATTGTGCAGATGAAGAAACTGAGGGTTTAGAAGTATAGACTGACTTAAAGATTACACCAATTTCGTGAATGAACTGTTAGTTTAGTTCCACCTCAGTTCCAGAACTCATGCTTTTTTTCTCTGGTGTAGACAACAGATAAGTGTGTTTATTATAGCAGAGGTGGATCAGAGCTCTGCCTTTGTAGCTGTGGTTATATCAAAATAATTTAATAACCATTGTTCTGGATAACAGAGAAAAACTTTATTACATTTTTTGCTAGATTCATTATATAGTTTCCCTGTAAGATTTTTGGCATAGATTTAAACTTTCTGTTACCTGAACTAATACATACGTATATACATATAGGTATGTGTGTGTGTGTGTGTATATCAGTTTGATTTTTTACTTATATAAGTTGTACCTACACTTTATTCCTTAAAAATAAGAAAATAATTGCTTTTCTATAGAAAGCAACCTGAAATAAATATTTAATCATTATAATAAAAACTGTATATCTATACAAAGTCTGTTGCTGATGGGTCCCCACTCTGCTTTGGGAAACATTATTAATTTGTGGAATTAAATTGCTATCTAAATAAGGGAGAATACCCAAGATTAGCGTGAATAGAAATCTGTCGAAGACTCTCAATATTTTAAGATTCTCAAGTGAATTGCAGCAAACCTGACTCTCTCTTCAGAGCTGTAAACTCTGAGCTCCCAACTTTCCTGGAGCCTCTTCTTCTTTTGTCAGCATCAGATGTGGCACTGAATCCCAGACTTTATAACATAAACATTGACAACAAGGAAAAGATCTAATTACCCTGTGAAACTGATGAGGTGGTTTATGGTTCTAAGGTGAGGGTGGGTACAGGTTTGAATAGCAAGCAAGGAGGATAGTTTTGGAGATGGTTTTAAGGCTCACTGGTGGCAGGGTGTCAGAGGATTGTAAGCAAGTTGACTGTGAGTGGCTAAGTACTGTGATTTTACCTGCAAGTAATATTGGCTCTTCTTTTGTCCTTGTTGAGATTACCCAGTAAAACCTATGAAAGCTGGAACCTGTATAAGCTGGAAACCTATCAGAGAAAGAAGATGAAAATATTTTCCATTAACAGAAAGCAGTGAAAAAATTGTGAGACTGCACTGTGTCAGAGGTGGAAAACCTGCAAGACCCAGAAAAATGAGGTGCAAAGTTCTAGCTCTTACAGGTTTCACTCTGGTTAGGAAAGAAGGTGGTTTGATGGCTGGTGGCAGTATTTTCCCAGGGTTGCTGAACTTTGATGCATTTATAATGAGCGATCTTTTATTTCCTTTGCTCTCTCATATTTCTGCAGCAAACTGTGGCATAGAAGATGGGACTGCACAGTCTTCTGATTGTTGACATGCTGGTTTACAAACAAATGATATGATTGTAGTAATAAAATATTGGCCATGTCTCTGTAGGTTTAATAATATCTGCCTCCTGCCCACTCTTTGCACTATACTATTACAAGAACTAATTTGTTTTTTTAAAAATCTAATACTCTATAAAATAGTAGGGTGTGTTTTCATTCCACAACATGTTACAAAATGCATCATGCTGTGAGGTCATTATATACCAATGAGATTATGGTGGAGCATTTAGAGGCTCATTACTTAACTGTAGTTGAAGAAGGTGGTGGTGGTGGGGTGTTCCTAGCACAGTGATTACCAGATGATCAACAACAAGAACAACAAAACACAATGGAAAATTTTGCCCCCTCTTTTGTATATTGGAAGATTGTGTGTGTG